CTGGCGCCCAAACAACCTTCACGGCATATAACTGGCCACCGAACGCCCCGGGCCGGAAGACCCCGGCAGTTGGGGACTCGCTCAGTAGAAGCTGCTGAGACTCCCAGCAGCTTCTACTGAAGCCTTCCGAGTAAATCTCCAGAACGCCGACACCTCCTCATCTCCACCGCTCCCATGTTTTCTTTTGTGTTGCCATAAGTTAGTCTCTTTGCGTTCATGCGATGGGCTAATGATAATAATGCTAATGCGAGGATAATAAAATGGCGGCTTCACAACACTTTTTGGGAGTTTTACGAGTTTTGCTCTCTAGCAGGGACGGAAAAGGGGGTAAAAAGGTTCTCATGACCACATTTTAGTTCCGGATTTCTTTGGTGTGAACGCGACATTTCGGAACTATATCGGAACAAAAGTGGGAAAAGTACTGCGGTGTGAACGTGGCTATTGTCCTCATCTTGCCTATATAAAAGGGATAAATAAATATTAACAGCATTGCACAGGCAGACTCAAGTTTTCTGTGCTCTTACATTTTCACTGAGGCCAGTGAAGCACTCCGCTCTGGACCGCTCCTCGTTCAGCATGGTGTCGATATCGTCCAGCGTGTCAGGCAGTGTACTGAAAGCCTGCATTAACAAAAACAAAAAAGAGCCATGAATATTTTACCAATTTATATTTATAATATGAAAAAGGATAATATTCCAAAGAAGGAAATGTCTAGTTTCATTCACAGTTTTTTTACATTACATGTCACTTGTTGGACGCTTTTATCCAAAGCGACTTACATACATTCAATACTGTGGGCAATTTAGGGTGAAGTGTCTTGTCCAAGGACACAGCGGAATGTTGACTGCAGCGGGATTCGAACCAGTGCCCCCGTGATTTGAAGATCAGCGCATTATAATAGTATAATAAAGACTGTAATCCACACTAACCTTATGCAGCTCTTCTGGTAAGGACTCGTCATGCTGCATCCTGCAGATTGACTTGGCTTTCTTCATCAGGCCTTTGCACAGTTCTGTCAGCTGAACCTTCCTTTGCTCCAGACGGATACATGTTTGCTGCAAGAACAATCTCAGTTAGCAGACATCAGATATACAGAACAGGGAGGAGATTGACAAACAAACTAAATGAGTGACTTTGTAGACGAAACTCACAAAATTAAGCCTTTTTCCAAACTCTATATACAAAAAGGTCTAAGTCAGGGCCAGGGGTGTCTAAACTACGGCCCGGGGACCAAATGCGGCCCGCGGGACTTTTGAATCGGCCCTCAACAAATTCAAAAAGTATAATGGAATACGGCCCACCAATGAAACTGGAGCGTTTCTTGTATTTTACTTATTACATATATCTGCAAACATATATTACACAGTCGTGCTCACGTGTTAATAAGCCCAATTTACAATAAATTCAGTCAATTACATTTGAAAATATGTTCTAACAAATCTAAGTCGATAAGAAAAAAGCCCAATAACTTATATACATAACAAACTTGAAATAGACCCTTCCTATTTCCTCTTATGATAATCAATCTGGGAATCCTGTTGTAAGATATGAGCTGCTAACAAATTAAATGAAACTCTCTGGAGAGCTGGGATGTAGGCTTTTTCTTTTTCTTAAAAGCAGATTCAAGTATCAAGCATCATTTACCTACATTTGATTGATTTTGAGGCAATAAACCTCACCTCTAGTGAGCGGCCCAGCCCTTCAAACTTTTTTCAACGAGGGCCACATACAGAAAAATATTTGGACACCCCTGGTCTAAGTGAACCGCTTACATCAGTGGTCTGGAGTTCAGAGGCGCTTTCTCTACAATCATTCTCCAACTTGCTCTTCTGCGCCATCAGCCCCACCGTCTCCAGAGTCAGGTACACCTTCTCCATGGTCAGCTTCACCTTCAGCTACAGACCATGGAGAGACAGAGAGAGGAGAAAGAGAGCCAGACATTTAAAAAGACAACATTTAGGCAGACAAAAGGGTTTTCACTTATAAAGCAAAACATCAAAAGTTATATCTATAAAAATCAATCACAATATAAAATGGTAGAGTTTTTTTAGCCTGATACGAGGTAGAGTTCAGTGGCAATAGAGCTTGGAAATGCAGAAAGGAGGTACATTCAGAGACAGAAGGATGTAACATTGTTGAAGTCTTTCACAACATAACATAAACAAATCTAAATGTCAACCTAAAGCTATGGAAATCAGCTTAGCTATCAGTTCATGGTATACATACCTTCATTTGCTCCATAATCCCTGCGACTAGGGAAACTTTCTGCTGATTGACAGCTGCAACTTTCTCTTTTGTCTTAACTTCAATCGTCTGCAGGTCAATGACGTTCTGCTCCATCTGCCTCAGACTAATCGCATGAAAAGTTGGAGTTAAACCAATTCAAAAAGTATTTGCATTGACCAAACAGACAAATCACTACAAAGAAAATATTCCAATCAAGTCACATTTCCAAGGAGGGCCTTTTGTAGATTTTTTTAGACAGACTTGCCTGTCCTGTTTGGAACTGATTTTCTGCTCCAGTTGTCTCCTTTTGCCTTTCACTTCAGAGAGGCTCTTCTTCTCGGCCAATAGCTCGTTGTCACGCCGATCCAGTGTGACGGCTTCTGCCTGCAAGGCCTTCAGCCGCTCATCAATGTCCCGTAACTTGGACTCACATTCCTAGTCACAGTGGGGGTAAACAGCTAAACTCTCACATATAGAAAAAACAGATGTAGGGAATAGTGGATTTAAAAAGGGTCAGGGCTATGCTTCCCCATGTGTTCCTATTTCTCTCCTTTACCTTCATCTGCTGCTCCAGCTGCAGCTTCTCTTTAGCGTCCACAGTGATGGAGAGGTACTGAGAGGGGTACACTGCAGAGTTACTGGTGCTGATCGAGTTTGAGTAATGGGACCTCTTCAATGTGTACCTCTCCTCTGTTGTGTACAACACCTTGAGGTAGGGCTCCTCAATCACCTGTCAGAAAGACAAATATTGACAAAGAACAACTCCTTTTTAATTCAAGAGTATTAAACAAAATCTGGACTTCAATGGAAATATCAGGAGACAAATATACAACTGTCAGATTTAAGTTTACCAGTGCAAAATACAGTAAACTCAAAAAGGGTAATAAAATGCGTCACACATTGACACAAGTAAATGAAACTTTAACAACATTTCTTTGACATCTAATTCAATAATTCAACTTTTTGACATCTCTGAAAGGCACAGGAGCAAAATGTATATTTTAATTCAGTATGATTTTTATGGGTGGTGCCTTTTTATAGACTTCACTGACACATTTAAGCTCAATCCACTCCGTTTATCTTGATATCCGACCTTTTGTTTCACCAAAGAGGATAGATTTTAAATCACATTCACGTCCCTAATATTCTGCTGTGGTGGTTTGAAAACTTGAAAAATGTGTGAAAAGGAAACGTACCCTTTTGATCATGGCTTTAGTTTGTTCATTGCCCACCGGGACGTCGTGCACCTTGTACTGTTGGCAGAGGTAACTCATCACCTCATCAGGCGCGTCAAACATCTCCCGAAGGTAGGCGAAGAACCCAAAATGCCTACAAGAATTTATGGAAATGTTGCATTACTAAATTAAAGACAAATATGCATGTTGATCTTATAGGTCATTACGCCTCGGATAAAATTCATATTTTCTCACTTTAGGGACTCAATATTTCTTGACGACTGTTTATTAGAACACGACACCTCTGGAGCACAAATGGCGTTCACCCTCAGGTTCATCTTGTCACGGACCTTTTGAAAGGATAACAGCAAACATGGGATTTGTCGGATAATTTACACACGGAAGGATTTTTTTTTTTTACGACTCTGACCTCTTTCATGAACTTCTCCATGTCGCCCTTTCTCTGGAAGACAAAAGCCCGCAGGTCCGCGAAGGAGATGTGGTTCTCCACATACTTGGCAAAGCGAGGATCTTTCACATTGATCTGAAAGATAAAGAAAGGGTTAGCATGTGGGCTTTGCAAATGATACAAAAAGCATCACAACCTTATCAGATCACAAATGTTAGCCAAAGCCGAGACAAGATCCCCAATTCCAAAGCACTGAAAAAAGGATTTTTTTATCCCAACCGTTAGCATTAATCATAAGGGTTTTATTACGACAAAGTTTATTGCCCCACTTAGATTTCAAAAGCTATATTAATTTAATACATGATTTATAATATGCTGTATTGTAGTTGGACACAGATCCAAGAACACTTTGTACAGTTGTTATATATTTACAAGGATTTTGAACAATTATCTTATTCCAACTCCTTTTTACTATAAAATGTACTTACGACCAGCATCATTGGCTCATGGACATTCCCTTCAAAGACTTGTCTGTTCCGTCTGAGCCACTGGAGGGCAGCGTGTGAGTCCCTGTGGCGTCCTCTCAGCTTCTCCTCTTTGACATTCATCATGTTGTTCATGTCCCTGAGCTTTCTTTCCAACACTAGCAATTTGAATAAATAAACCACCATGTAAACGAACCACATGGTGATGTATGTGTGCTAGCAGCATCTTATGTAAATAACTAGATATTTGTTTACGGGTTCAGGTGACACTGCTGGTGGGAAACTCACTTTTTGTTTCAGCATGGAGGTTGTCCTTGTCCCTGCGTAGGTCGGACTTCTCCCCTTCGATCTGGGCTCTCTGCTCTCGGATTTGCCTCAGCTCGATATTGACGGCGTTGATCTGCGGCATCACGTCGGGTTGGTCTGTAACTTTGGCGAGCTCTGCCTTAAAGGCGTCAATGGTCCTCCTGGTGTTGCTGATTCCCTTCTGGTGGTCTGCCGCTTCAAACTGCTTAATCTTTTGTGTTTGTTTAATATTTTCAATCTGTAGGGAAGAACGGGGAGAACTATCATTAATTATGAACACCACATCTGCAGCTTAAGTCTACTTTATTCTGTGAGAAACACACACGGAACAGGAAAAGTCAACAAAATGGACTACAGACTTCATGAAGTACTGCATCATAAAGATGAGAAATCATTTGTATATAATGCAAATGGTAACTCTTTTTATTATCTCTTCTTATTTATAGAATGAATGTGGGGTTGCAATAAGACATAAAATTGATATTTTTACTATCAGATTTGAGGGGCTGAACGTTTCCTTTCTCTTTCTAAGTCCCACCTCTTTGTTTTTTCGATCCAACTGATCCTTTTTCTGCTTGCACTTCAAAGAGGCTTCTTTGATGGCATCAGTCTGAAAAATAAGATGCTCACAGTTATCACCATTCATAATATCAATCATTAAATGCAGGTAAAAATTGTGCTGTAGAAAGAATGCTAAAGCCTCTCGCTTTAATGATGTTAAACATACTAAGAATATATTTTATTATAACCTTGGTAAAGATTTGAAAATTAAATCCATGTTTAATGTAAAGTGCAGGTGGGATTCCCAAGTGTGCCACTCTAAAATGTCTGAGCATTTTCAAATTGCATTTCCTAGGGCAATATAATGCTCGGATTAATTTATAATGCACTCAATTCATGTGAAATTCTCATGGTTGTTCTATGGTCTCTGGATTTAGGCCCCATTTACACGGGAACGTAAACGAAAGGCAAGCTAACCGAATTCAATACCAAAAAAGGGATTCCGTTCACACGGATACGGCTCAATAAACGTGTCCCTTCACACGAGACTGCTCGACCCGCTGCAGTACATATGCCGGGCCTGTAAGTGGCGCTGTACTTCCGCCACAAAATATACCAAAAGCAGCGAAGAAGACCCACAAGCATGGTTGCCATGGTTGCCATGATTGCCTGGTTGATATTCTCCGTGGTGGATTTAGCAACATGTAGTTCTCCACGTCCACTTGTTGCTGATGGTTGTGGTAGAGGAGCTGTAGATTTTGCACTAACATCTGTAGCATGGTCAGTAGCAGTAGCAGTAGCTACTGACAGTAGCTACTGACCATGCTACAGCAGTGAGCAGCAGAAGTGGGGAGAGGCGGGGCTATGGCTTCATCGTTATCAGGAAAATGATCGTATAGGACTTACACACGGAGCCGTTTGGCCCCCCATAGCATTCCGTCCGCAGATCTATCCACCTTGGGACCCGTTATCGTTTTAGGGGTCCATTTCCGCGGTTCCGTTGCGGCCTTGTGTGAACGAACAGGCTATACGAAAGAGAAAAATAGCAGAGACAACCCGTTTCGTTCCCGTGTAAACAGCACCTGATTCTGTGACTGTAGCTGCTGGCCCCGCCCCCTTTTGAGCACTAGGCACTAGGCTTGGGCGGTATGACGGTATTACGGTATACCAGGGTATTTCGAAATACCGTCGGTATGATTTTAAATACCGTGACGTCACAGACTGTGCGCCAAATCACAGATGCGTTTCATTCTATTACACTGACACGGAGTTTTGACAGGGACGACATTGGTTGTAATGCACAGCACGCGCCAGCAGAGGGCAGGGGAGGGCAGTCCGTCTTTCCCGCTCTCAGAGCTCAGCACAGAGCTGAGCTGAGCAAGATGGCGGCAGCATTTGCCGGCCCCGAACTCGGACAACTAGTAAAAAAGAAAAATGCCTCTGCGCCTGTTTGGGACTATTTTGGGTTTACTCGTCGCCAGTGACTTCATCCAGCACAACGAGAGACAGAGGCACTTCTTTGGGAATGTTTAAGACGGGGTGAGTGAGTGTTGACCCT